CCCCACTACACACTTCCCTCCATATAAATGCAGTTCCATTGAGGATCACTCGCTGAGTACGGCCGGTCAGCCAGCTACGGATCCATCTGGTGGTGATTCTGTCTACCCCACATTTTTCTATCTTATTATGTAGTAGGTTGTGATCTACTTTATCAAATGCCTTACTGAAGTCCAATAAATTATGTCCACAGCATTCCTCTGATCCACTAATTTTGTCACTTGGTCAAAGAATGCAGTAAGATTTGTCTGGCATGATCTATTTTTGACAAACCCATGTTGGCTTTTAGTAATGACTTTGTTTGCCTCTAGGTGTTCGTTGATTCGGTGTTTGATTATCTTTTCCAGGATCCTCCCAGGTATTGAGGTCAGGCTGATAGGTCTGTAATTTCCTAGATCTATTTTTTTTCCTTTTTTGAGGATGGGAACTACATTAGCTCTTTTCCAGTCCTCTGGTAGTTCCCTTGATGACATTTAAGTCCCACTAGATGACACTGCTTGGATAACAAGACTCTGAGCATGCCAAGTGTATCAGATTTTATTCACCAGGTTGAAATAATTAGAAATAGGTGATCTTGCAAATAACCAGGTTCTGTGCTTTGATAACCAGTGACTTGCACTTGAAAGCCTGGCAACCAGTGTAGCTCACAAAGTAGCAATGCTATGTGGGTGTACCAAGGTACTAATTATGCTGCTGCGTTCTGGACCAGCTGTAGTTTCAATGTACAACACAAGGGAATCTAGACAAGGAAACTGAAATATGAGGGACTGTGAATATAACCTCCCGATCCAGGAATTGGAGTAACTGAAGCATAAGATGGATTTATGTGAAGATCCTGCAAACCATGACTGCCACCTATCCTTCAAGGAGGAACTAAGATTAGGAATACCCTCAAAATGTATACTAGATCTATTAGTGTAATTAATGGTAAGACCAATGGGGTGTACAACTACATTCAGAACCAAAGATAGAAAATCCCTAGATTCAAGAGGCCTCAAAATCCATAGTTATTCAGTCTTGATAACTTTATTTCTCAGTCTCTTTTTGATCCATACCCTTCGAGATACCAAGACAGCTTGGGTACACCTGATGATACCCAGCTCTATATCAATGACCTCATTCAGTGGTGTCATGTACTGCAGATGTTAAGTGGGTGCAGCGAGGTACCTGTACCCACAAAGCAAGGGTCAATGACTCCTTTCCCCATGAACATCTGGAACCAACTTGGAGAAAAGGAAGCATATCATGTCTCCCACTTGAAAAATCAAACACATCCAGAAGGATACCATGACTGATGGTATCAAGGGTCACCAAGAAATCAAAGAGGGTCAGGATGGCTATTCCACTCCCAGCCTAGTCCCACCATAGGGGTGATCAATATTGTTTTGGTCCTATGCTCAGGCCTGAAACACAACTAAAAGAGATCCAGAAAACCTTGGATTTAAAGCACTCTGAAGCTGCAGCCTACCTATTTTCTCCACAACCATGCCAAAGGGAAAGCTGGACATGGCTCAGAAATGATTCCCTAAGGAGGAAACCTCACTCAAGAATGAATTCACCAATGACTAGACAACCTCCTGGAAGGCCTTCTGCAACCCAGGAAGGACATAGATCTGATACACAAGTGGCTACACTCATAGTCTCAAGAACTCTGTCCATTCCTCAGGACAAATAGGCTAAACTCATTTCAGATTATCACAGGACGTGGATGGGTAGAGTTCAACTCAGAGTAAATCCAAACAACCTTATCCAACAGGTTTCTCAATAAGTCCTTTCAAAGGTCAAATGATCTGACCCACTCTTATCAAGGAAGAATGGGCTACCTTAAACAGGACTGCCAAAGAGCAATTTGTTGATGCAAATAGAGTGGAAAAATACCTATGTTTTGCCTTTCTTATTTTCATGGTACAAAGGCAATTTGGAAATTAACTTCCATTTGGTTATCAATGACAGGCACTTGCAGATACAGAAAACTACAACATTACATTACTTTTCGACATAATCGCCATTCAAATTGAGGCACTTGTCATAACATCTTACAAGATTTGAAATTCCTTAGTAGTAGTTGCTCGGCACCAAATCCGGGCTATAGGGGGAGGGTGTTGATCAAAAATATCCCAACGGAACTGCAGTGTGTGGGTGAGCATTATTGTGAACCAACACCACACCGGAAGTCAGCATGCCCCAACGCTTGTTATGGATAGCTCGTCTGAGTTTTTGAAATGTTTTACAGTAGACTTCTGAATTGATGGTCGAACCACGTTCCATAAACTTCACTAGCAGCACTCCTTTGGCATCTTCACATTTGGTGAGATTTTCTATACCACTTCCGGTGTGGTGTTTGTTTACGATAATGCTTGCCTGCTAAGGAATTTCAAACTTTGTAAGACGTTATGACAATTTGAATGGCGATTATATCAAAAGTAATGTAATGTTGTAGTTTTCTAATGTATATAACAAAAATTCTGTGTCTGCGAGTGTCTGTCATTGATAACCAAATGGAGGTTTATTTCCAAATTGCCCTCATAAACCTTAATAAAGTTTCTTAATCTATTTCTGGCCAAATTTGCCCTTTTCCTTTCTCTATAAGTGCTCTCATGTCTTATTTCACTTCAACTCTGTAAGTTCCTCTGAAAACCAGGGGGAGAATCCTCTGAGATCCTAGAATTCATTTGATATTAATGTTTTTATACCTCAGTATAATTTCATAATTAGTTATATTTACACAGTTATATTTGAACCTTAGAATACTGTCATAGTTGGAACCTTAAAGGATCAAATAATCATTATGACATTACAGTTTATAATTGCAGTCTTGTATTCGGCCTCTGAGTATTCTGAGAAGTTTCTTACTAATTTTCAAAGTAATTACAAAAAAAGTACATTGACATTAGAATGGGGAACAGATACCAGAATTAGAAGGTTTTGTCTTATAAAGATGTATGTTTCAGAAACATGAAATGTATGGTTATGTACCTATAAACACAGCCACATTGTTTCCAGGGACCAACACAGAAGTGATTTGCCAGTGACTTATTCAGATGTCTTTTTAATCTCCCAGTTTAGCTAAGGTTGTTGAGTTTTATGTAATTCTCTTGTCCAAGTCCAATATTGCTTTCTGACATTACTCAAGGTTGGCTATGTCTTTGTAAGAGAAGAGGCAGAGCCTGGGGCGGAATCAAGAAAAGAATTAGCCTGGAGTCCTTATGTTCCCACAAGCAATCCCAGTCCGCTCCCCTTGAATTCCATTAATTCTTTTATCTAATGCAGTGGTTCTCAACCTTTCTAATACCGTGACCCCATAATACAGTTCCCCATGTTGTGGTGACTCCCAAGTGGGTGTGGCCATCAATAAGAGGGAGTAGGACAGCTAGGGAAAAGGGAAAAAAATGGCGGACAGCGTGGTTTGGCGACCCCCGTGAAATGGTCATTCGACCCCAAATGGGGTCCCGACCCACAGGTTGAGAACCACTGATCTAATGCCAATTTAATACTGTCTGTTAGTTGACTAGATTCTTGTGTATAAGCATGAGCAATAAATTAGCTTAACTGGAACTTAACATGTCCTGATTCTTCAGGCCTGACAGGCTTTGTTTCATGAACAAATGTTGTAGTGCAGATATTAACAGAGATGTCCATTTTGATCATTCTGATTGTCTCAGCTGTGTATAATTGGAAGTGTTGTTGGGTTGATTCAAATAATATTTCCCAATGGAAAATCAATTCACAATATGTATACTGCTCATTATTTCTGACTAGGAAAGTAAAAGGAGGTTCCATGGGATTTGGAATAGCATTTTTAAAAGTGAATCTCAGAGAAGCTGAAAATCTGTAAGAAACTGAAGAGTAAGTACAGAAGACTTGTTGTAATATTATAGTTAGAGCACTAAACCACACAGCAATGCTGAATGAAATCTTCTAAGACTAGTTAGAGGAAATCTGCTTTAAAAAAAACTACCCTAATTTCCAGCTATGCAAGTAGTAAATCACTTTTGAAATCTTGCAAACAAATTGCAGAGACTTGTCCAGGCAGTTCTGGGGAGTTAGGATTGATTCAAAGGTATCAAAAGGTTAAAGTGGTGTTATGGTGGCTCACTGATTTGTAAGATGAAACCATTAAGTTAGAGTCAAAGAATAATCGACAATATTCTGAAGGAAAACTCTGGTTGTAACGTCCTGAGTTATTTAAAGGCCACAAATAGAACTTTTAAGAGATAAGAAATAGCAATCTGCTCACAAAATTATCTGATTTCAGTGAATTTCTCATTCACAGCTACCAGAGAATAAAACTAGTCAATAGTCTAGACTCCCCCCCCCCATCCAACACTCAGAGAAAAGATAGGATCTGAATAAAATTGATAATGATACACTAAGTGGATAGCCTGAATTCAGTATGCTAATCTAGGCTAAAATGAGTTTGGGTAAATTTGGTTATCTTGTGGGAAACCAAAAATTGTCTTAGCAATTGAATCAAGTGGTTCAGCGTAATGAGTTATGCAATGAAGTACCTATTTTTTTTGCAACTCGGGGTTAGCAGGTTGTCTGAATTCACTGGACCTAACCCAAAGTGCTTTTTCAAAAGGCAACTGGACTTTGTTTTTCCTTGAAGACGTTTCGCTTCTCAGCCCAGAAGCTTCTTCAGAACTGGACTTTGTTTTTCCTGGAAGCTTCTGGGCTGAGAAGCGAAACGTCTTCAAGGAAAAACAAAGTCCAGTTGCCTTTTGAAAAAGCACTTCGGGACAAGCATGATTGCGAGCATCTTCATGGTCACTGGACCTAAAATGCCAGTGAGCTACTCAACGTACCACCTCTTGCCTTAAGATCCCTTGGCAGCCGCCCCCGTTCCCCAAGACGACACTTTCAGACCTCGAGAGATCACGACGCCCTAGCGAAGCAAGAAGCCTCAATCTGTTTTGTTTTTTAATCGAAGGGCGGGGCTGGACCAATCCGCCTCCCTGTCAGTGCGATCCGCGCGATGGGAACTAGGCTTCGGGTGGGGAGTTCGAGAGACAGAGAAGGCAGAGCGTGCAGCGGCTGTTCCAGACGCTACTTTCCGAAGACGGCGAACGGCGCGCAGCCAGAGGGCAGAAGGAATTCGCTCGCTCGCCGGCAGCGGAAGCCAAGCCGAGATCCGCTCAATCGCTCCCTCTCCCTTCCCCGCCTTCTCACAGGAGATATTTTTCGGCTCCTTTCGCGCCAGAGAGGACGCGCGCTCTGCACGTGCTCAGAGAGACGCTCGTCACGTGCTCCCGGCCAAAACAGGAGGCGGCGGTTGTGCATTTTCGCCCCCTTCGGCAGGCGGAGCGAGGAGGATAGCCAGAAGGACGGGCGCGCGCAGGCAGGCAGGCAGGCAGAGACGCGACCAGCCAGGAAGGGGTTGTGACTGGCCCAGCCCAGTTGCAGCTCGAGGCGGATCGTAGCGGGGAGGAGGAGGAGGAGGGAGGCGGCCTGACTCGTTCGCCTTTGGCGGCTCGGTACGGCTGGGCTGCGATTGCCCTCGCCCGGCCCGCGCATACCTCCTCCCGACCCGGCGACGCCCATTCTGCGCTCGGTCCGGATGTGCAACAGTTTCCCCGAAGTTGCGCCCGAAGCTAGCAGGCGGACGCTCGGGGGGTTCTTGAGCGAAAGGGTGGAAGGACGAGAGCAGACAGGCTGGTAGGCAGCTCGCCCCGCGTGAAGAGCCGGAGAGGGCATCCATCCTTCCGCCGTGCAGACAGGAGATGCTCGGAGACGCCGTCCTTTCTGTCCTCTCGGCGCTGCGGCTGCTCGGGTTAGCCTCTCTCTCTGGGCAGGAGCCGAGGATGTCCTCCTGAAGGCCGGGAGAGAGAGAAAGGAAGAGTGGGCTTTGCTCCAGTATGGGCGCCAAACAGACCAAGGGTTGCTCGCTGCCCGGCTCCGCCGGTAGCGGTAGTAGCAGCAGCAGCAGCCCCCAGGGTCCCCTCTCCGCCAGTCGCCGACGGATTTTGCCTTCTCGGGAGCGCGGAAACTTCTTGGCGTCCCTCGTAGTACGGTCGAGTGAAAAGTTTGGCAAAGGGGCTGGCGGCAGCGGCGGCAGCCTCCCCCCGTACCATCGCCGGATCGTCCTGATCCAAGATATGCTGAGGATGGTGAAACAAGGCAGGCACGAGGAGGCAACTGATCTGCTGAAGTACCTGCGCCAGGTAAGAAGATGGGATCGCAGCAGGAATCTTGGGCGGTGGGGGGGGGGGACGACGACGACTGACACACTCCAACAACAGTAGCAGATGTCTGGATGCATGTACTGGATCTTAGTTCCTGCTGGGCATATTGGAGACGCTTGGCTTATTAGTATGTATTTAACCGAGAAAGCCAGAGAATTGTTCTAACCAGCTAATAGACTTGGGGTTTGACCCACTGAAGTGGAGGAATTTGGAAATGAGAAATTGAGAGTGGGTTATGGTGAAGTTGGCATAGCTACTGGCTGAGAGGCATTAGCCAATGTGGCAGATTGGCAAAGTTCTTCATTTGACTTTGAACCAGGAAGATTCTTGGGTATAAAACCAAGAGATACAGTTGAAAAAGGAAGCTCTTGAATGAATTTTCAAAGGGGATTTCAGTAACTTATCTTGAGTGAAGAAGGGTTGGGGGTCCCTGAAAAGAGTGTCCTCTACATTCTGTAAGATCAAAATAGGATTATGTACCACAGTGAGCAAATAAAGAATAGCTGTTTGTACAAAGGTCTCTTCAAAGTAATGTTTGTATCCATTCAGTTCTCAGCTCTGTCACAGCATAGTCATTTTTGCATTTTCTTACTCTGTAGAGAAACTCAGGTAGGTTGGAGCTGACTGTGGACCTTCCCATTAAGGAGCTGGTTTCAGTTAGGGTGAAACTCATGGTAAGTCACCTTAGGAGATGAAAAGAAGATTTTCTTCAAAGTTGTGATAGAGTTTAGATCTTTTACTAAACCAGTAAAAGTTGCAAACCAAGCTTATCTAAGGTCTAAAATCTATCTAATGCCACAGTAAAGCATGGTTCAAGCTGTGGCTCAGTCATTGTTTTCTTACCATTGGTGGGCTTGATGACCCCTGGAAAGAATTGTATGGGATATTTTTCCTGTCTGGCATTTAAGGGGCTGTGTAGAAATCCAGGTTTGAAGGGAGAAGTGATTCAGAACATCCGTAGGTGCACATGTAAGCATCTGTTGGCAACTTCTTAAAGGTGCCGTATTTTTCCCTGGGCTTACATGGCTCCCCTCCACAGCTGTCATATGTTTCAAGGAAAAGAGAACTTGAAGGGTTGTCAACAAATGTTACATGCATGTTTATGGGTCCTTTGGATCATCTTTTTCTCTTCAAATCCAGACCTCTGCATGGCACTAAAAGCAATAATAAAGGAAGTGTCCAGATTTAGAGCATAGCATTTTGTTAGACAGATGGATGGGTTGAAAACAATTGGACTGCAGAATCTGCCCAGTGAAACTCCTAGATGTAACCTATCAATTTATATCACATTTATTTATGTGGAAAGTATAGCAAGGATTATTTGATTGACTTTATTCTGTGTCTGACAGAGAGAAATTCTGGCACTCACTACTGTATCTGATGTGTTCAGGTTTTTCTCTCTTCTCTAGATATGTTGATTCATAGCATGCAGATTTTCCTTCAATAGCAAAGGGAGCCCAGTTGATTTGCAAATGTATATACAGGAAAAAAGATTCTAATATGGAAGATTATTTGTATATCAGCTATAAAGATGGGGGGATTTGAGGTAGATGAATCTTATGCCATACTTGCCAAGATCAAATGCAAATGCTGGTATAATTGATTTCTCTTTTGCTTTGTTTTTTGCTATAGTACAGAGATTAACAACATGTTTAAATCCTGCTGCCCGATGTTTCTTGGCAGTAATTGAATTACATTTGTTGAGAATTAATTAAAGGGAGTCTGGACTGGCCTAGTGACCCTGTGGATTACTTGACTTATTTCCTTGCACCGTTGCAGTGCACGGAGCCCCACAGGAGTACATTTCATTTAAGTTGGGTTAATAAATTTAATTTCTCCTGTTTAAAATTAACCTCAGCCTCCCAAACCTATATAAATTATCTTTTTTGGGTGCTGAGAATTTCCAGTTTGTCCCTCTCCCATTACAGTTTCCAGCTTTCCCCCAGAGCAGGAATTGTTTTTAATTTGTTATGTTCCTTTAGAAGATCTTAGCCAAAGGGTCACCAGTTTAGCTGAATTGGATGTTCCAGAGAGGGAATACAAATGATAGAATTAACAAAATAAGCTCTGTTCTGGTGGGAACCATAATAACTGACAATATCAGAGACATTCAAATCTCTTGATTGTCTGGCTATTAAAATCCTTTTCCATGTGTGGTTTCTTCAGCTCAGCTTGGCAATTGCTCCTTAGGAAGACTTCTTATTTATTGAGTTTCTTAAAGTAGCATTTCTAGGATAGATTCCCCCCCCCCACTGCACTAAAATGTAAAAAAAATGTAAAAAAAGTAGGACTGAAGATTGGAAAAACAGTCTGAAAAAAGGCAAGTTGTAGGTGCTTCATCATTGAAGGGTTTTAAGAAAAGACTGGACAGCCACCTGTGGGCACGCATGCTGTCGCCCCAGTCCTACGCCTTCAGCTGGGTTTTATAAAACCTTTCTCTTTAGGCCTCCACTGCCATGTGCACAAAAAAAAAAAGGTTCAATCAATTTCAACCTCTGGGGGGGGGGGAAAGATCTCGCAAAGTTGGAATTGATTGGTTGAACCCAGTCTGCCATTACCACTGCAGCCATGCCCACCTAATTGGCCACACCCACCCAATGGGCCACACCCACCCAATGGGCCATGCCCACCCGGCACTCAACGATACATAAGTGGGTTTTAGGTTGCAGTTTGGGCACTCAGTCTCTAAAAGGTTCACCATCGCTGGTATACGGTCTCCTGCCTGAGCAGGGGGTTGGGCTAGAAGACCTCCAAGGTCCCTTCCAGCTCTATTCTGATTGATTGAGACCAGAACCAAGTCTTGGATTGCAACAGATACTTTAATATTATTGAGATGAAGGCTAGAAAATGGTTGGATTACGATAACATGTGTTATCATTTGCTAATAAAATAACCCCATGAGGGAGGGGTGTTTGTGCATTTGCAGAGGGGCTGTCATAGTGAATGGGGCCAGCTACAAAACATTACTTTTCCAGATGAGTACACTTCCCAAGAATTGCTCTAAGCTGCAGCCATTCATCGGTTTTATTTTCTAAGAATTCCTGTGGGGACCCAAATGTCTGCTGGTTGCAGGGACTTTGCTTTGCAATGTACTGAATTTCCATTTCTTTAAAATGGATATATTTAAAAAAGAAAAAAATTGAAGCAAGGAGCTTAGCAAATACCATAGAAGGTGACTGTAGGCAAATTGGTGCCCAAAGGCATAAGTTGCCTTCTCGTCACCTAAGCTGTTTAAAATTCAAGGTACGACGACGTGTGTGTGTGTGTGTGTGTGTGTGTGTGTGTGTGTGTGTGTGTGTATGGGAGGGGGAGTATCTTTTAACATTTTATTCTTCAACCCCCCATTTGTAGCAAACTCCTTGCACAGTTGCCCCTTGCACAGACCTTTTCCCTTTATAGAGTGGCCATGCAGCTACTATAATTCGGTTTTATGGTTCCTGGTGTTTTGATTTTTGCTTGGAAGGAACAGTCCCCAGTTGAGAAGACTTATGTATTTCAGGTATGCTTATACCTGCCGTGATTGCATTAAATTATTACTGATTACAGCACAGCAGTTTGCCAGCGTCGTATTTGAAATCTCGGCTCTGTATTCAGTGCTTTTCAAATGCTATTAGTGACACAGGCTAGCTAAAGACTTATTTGCTTTATTTGTTGGGAGATTCCAAGGTGTGGAATGTTTAAAAGTTTGCAAAAGCTGGCTCACCCATGTGAAGTAGCACTCTTAGAAGCTGTTGGCCCATTTATTCTCAATGTTTGCTGATAAACTGGGCAAATGTCTGTTCCAAATGCTAGGACAAATGTTCTTTGTAAGGTGTTGAACCTGACACAGTGGCTGCTGCGTGCTCCTTTCCTCTCATCTCTTGGGTAGGCAAGAGTTAAAAAGGCCCAGCCCAGAGCATGTACTATGTAAGTTGGAAATCCTGTATAACCATTGTGCAAATTTGCCCTTTCTCAAGAGATGAAAATGAAATATTAATTCTTAATAAAATGAAGGGGGATCAACTAAAGACTGCATAAAAATAAATAAAAGGGGGAAGGGATTTTTGTGGGCTCTATTCCAGATGCCTGTTGGAAGATGCTCATACCATCTTGTGCATTAATTCCTTCTATTCTTGGGAAGAAATACTGATGGGGAGGCAGAGATCAAAAACTCAGCTTGCCTGTTGCTAGGTGGACTGGTTTTCTACCAGTCCATTCATCAGTTGTGTGAAAATGGAAGCATTTGGAAGCTCTTAGAGTCATATGAGAGAGGATCAAGAGAAAGCCAAAGATGGAACCGTTGAAGCCTCAAGAAATAAAAGGATCTGGCACTTAACTGAGTAAAATAATAAGGGAAGGCTATTGTGGAAGAGACAGGAACAAATGTGAGTTCAGAATTCAACCTAAGTGAAGAAATAATAGGAGCAAAGCTTTGAGATGGGTGGTGGTTTCATATGTACATATATTCACATGTGCTCACTTTGTAGCTAGACTTGCAGCCATTTATGCTGTGAGGATTTATGTTTAATGCATAGCCTTATTGCTCAGCAAATGCACAAGTACAAATGCTAGCCTTGAGGATTAGATTGCAGGCCATAGAGGGGTATAATGGGAGTTTTCAGTCTAGCATGTAGGTCTGGAAGATGCAGCAATTCACAAGGAAAACAGTTGTATATTAGTCAGGATCTGCTTGGTGTGGGTGTGTGCTGTCTGGACAGATTGTACAATCTTTCTTCCTTCCTTGGAAGTTTTTCATGGAAGCTATTTTATGTCCCTGTCTCCATATGTTTCTACAAGGAAATGCATAATATAGATTGGGTAATCATAACCTACATAAACATAGAATCATAGGACTGGAAGAGACTTTAGAAGTCTTCTAGTCCAACCCCCTGCTCAAGGCAGGAGACCTTATATCATCTCAATCAAACAGTTGTCTAGTCAATTCTTGAAAGCTTCTAGCGATGGAGCACCCACAGCTCCAGGAGGCAAGCTTTTTTTTT